ATTTCAGCGTGACTCTATGACCACAATTTTGTTCAGCTTAACTGCATCAAACAGGCTTCAAATGATTTTAAGTGGGTGTTTTTTCAGCGTGGTTTTCATGGAAATGCATTGAAACTAGAAATCTTTTCATAGGTGTTGTGGATGATTGGGTTTGCGATTTCCACAGCTTGGAATGTTTACCAAACGGACACCAGATGGAATTAGGTCTCTTCACTGTTAGCGCCACCAACGGGTGTATATAAAGAGAGGGTTCCCCATATGAACATAACATAACATAACATAAGAAATGAAGGGAAACTCTTGTTGACTTGTCTCGGAATCGTTTTGAGGTCTGTGCCTATCCAACACTCATTCCTTAAACGGGGAATGCATTTGACCAGCAGAAATACAGGCGAAGACCTCTGTTATTATTCTGGCGCTAAATACCCAAAATGCGGACGATGTTGCACATACGTGTTCTAATCTACTTCACTCAGAGGGTGCTATGTTTGGCTTCGGTAATCTATGTGGTAATACACTTTCTCTGCCAAAAGCAAATCAGAATTGACCCCAAATTGGGGAGTCATCAATTGGACGAACCTCTGAAATTTCAGGCTTTCATATCGACGGCCTATTTGTGGCGACATAATTCCAAACGTTCTTTGATAAAATCAACGGTTCATCCAACGATAAGCAATGAACAAATGACACTTCAGAGCAATACAAGATCTTACATGTGATGAAAACATCTTGTTGTTGAAACCGGATATTTTTTTATCAGAGTTCCGAAATAACTGTCGACAACCAACTGGACATTGCTGCGCTGATGGTTAAAAGCATTATGCCTTTAATTTCCTGAAACCGCTAAAAGAGTTCTCAAATGTCATCGCTTGACTATTTCATCATACATAGAGTTCGCTGATATTTCACTTTCCAAAGGTTGGTGTCTTTTTGTCCAATCCTTCTTCATCAACACGCCGCAAACTTCTTCAGTAGATCTTTGTACGACATACGTTTTTCCCCTGCATATTAAGGTTATTTACAAAAAAATCTTGGGCAGTATTTTCAACATATTTTGCCGAACCATACTGTTTTCAGCACAAGATGATTCCCGTTCATGAAAGGACATCGTTGTGTCATTCATGCTTTTTCCAAATGCGATGTTCAAGTACACTCAGGATCAACGTACAATTGTAGGTAACCTCGGTGCACCCAAAACAACGGTTTCCCTCTATCAATCCCAATCTAATACAATTCGATCAGCCGAATCTTACTCGAAATTTCTGCGGGATTACGTCTCCAAAGAGGGAAACATTTCCACGAAATTTCAGCTTTCGGTGGTTGCTTTCCTGCACTGTTCGATCTGAATGCTCCCTGCCTGCATGTGCGATCTAACCTACCCCACTCAAGGATCTGGGCTGGTTTCGCTGATAATGTACAAATTGGTCTTACCAATCAGGGTTGTCGATTGTCAAGCTGCTGCAAGTTAGATCTACGGAGCAATGTCCACTCAAATGTTTCACGAGATTGTCGAACACTTCTGTCTCAAAAAAACCACGAGATAACCGATTGCCCTAAATGCAGACGATGTTGCACATAAATGTTCCAATCTACTTCGTTTGCGAAAGGTCTTGAGCGATTTACTACCGCTGGTGATTCATCAGGGCACATTAACTCGAGATTGGACAACATGAACCGTGAAATTTTATCAGACGCAAACCTGGATGTTGATATGGTACATCCGAGGCAAACTACTACGTGGACATCTGACCGTAATGAACCATGGATATGCGAATGGGAAACAAGCGGTGAGTACAGGATTCACAGGAAAACTACTTTACAGTTAAAAGGATGGTCTTCGCTGCCGAGTTATTTATTAGAGAATCATGAACCGAACGGTTACAGTCTATTAGACAAGGGAGCATCTTGTTTAAAAAACTGAATATCCATCTCCCATTTGAACGCATCTTCTTGAAATTTCCTGGATATTCATTGCCTGTAACGCAAATGCAAGCAAATAATACAAAGCGACTCCGCGAATTCCGTAGAAGATCCCAAATTTCAAGAGACAGGAAGCGGATTTAAGATTTATTATTATTGTTATTATAATTATTATTGCCGTTATCCACCGTTACGCAGGTTGTGGACCTGTATTGATTTTGGGAGTACATAAGTCTGCAATTCCCTGGGAAAATGCGGTTTTTCATCTCCTATTTTTCTTTCCACTTCTGAATTAGACAACTGATTTCAATGGCTGAATCAGAAGATAGTCTGTCCGGTGGAATTAGCGACCACTCTATTCTACTAACCCAAGGGCAGTAGCATGAATTTAGAGGGAGGTGTGTGACTTTGTAGTAAAATAGCGCATCAATGATGAGCAGAACTTAGCAAGTGTCTCATTTTAGAGTACCGCTAAGCCTCTTATGCAATGCAATTGTTTCTTCAGCAATACACACCTCCTGAGAAACGAACGCATGCTGATTGTGCATCGTCCTATTTTCTGGACAGAGTTGTGTTAGTCTAGGAGTTGTTCTACATTCTAGCCATATCTGAATTTGCCAGAAATTTGTGATTTGCAGTTTTGC